TGCTTTATTAAAAGGCTTCTGGTACATTTCTGTTACTACTGAGTGTAATGGAGAACCTTGGGGTTTTCTTTTTTACCTCAATTTAATTCAAAGGTTTAGTGATATTAAACTTTTCAGCAAACTCAAAAAAGTGTTGGTGTGTACATTCCTTCATATAGTGATGCTATCATGGCCAACATGAATGCACAAAGCTGCAGGAGACAATCGAATAGTGCAATAAAATTGTATATTCATGTACCAATTCTCTTATGATCCCTTCTCAATATACTACAGATGGAATAAAGTGCTGTAATGATTCTCAGTATCGACCCGCCAAATGCAAGCTTATTGGTGAGTATGCATTTCTCTGTTTGAATAAGGCCTTAAAGCCCTTGTCAAAGTCGTTGAAGAAATGAAAAGAGAAACTAACTTGATGAAACTTAGAAAACGATGAGCCCCCAGGCCCATTAAAGGCCAGAAAGACCGTTAATTAGAGGAAAACAAGCAAATAAAGATTAAACTTGATATTTAAAGTACATGACAGTATTTGCAGGCCGGACCCAAGGGTGGAGACTGTTCCACAACCCGGAAGTGTGATTGAACTTATCAAGGCATGGCACTCTCAGAATATCGTGACTCTTACAGCATTTTCAAGCCTTCACAGAAACACATCCACGCAATCCTCGCTCTGCGCTGGCTATGGGAGGACATGACCCCTGCCGAGGCTCTGATGAAAACCATGGCTGGGCAGGAGGGGAAGAGGACCAGGAAGAAAGCCAGAAGCACTGAGAGGTGGGTCTGTCATGGAATCCTTTGGGACAGGTACGATCTTTGCCCGAGGCTATCACTCCATGTTCTGAGTGGGTGAGAGTAAAAACCCTTCCTCTCGCAGTAACACCGATCTTTTTGTTTTAACAGGGGTGGGAGGGGGGAAGTTGCACTGGCAGCTGTGGAAGTGGCATGTGTCCTCCCCGCCACAGGCACGGGCCACACTGAGCGGCACAGACAGCTAGCTCCCTCGGGCCGGCCTTACACTAGCAGGACCCATTTCAGGCAGTGGCAGTGGCGCGGTCTGTGGCATCGACCAGCATAAAAAAGGAAAGTGCTGCAGGCGAGCGAGAGTGGGGAGATGAGAAAGCAGACGTGGAGAGTTAGAGGGGCAGAGGAAAGGAGGAATAGAAAGAGAGAGGAGTGGGTAAAGAGCAGTTTAGTCATTTGGTTGATTTCTTAGAGAGCGAGCAGATGGAGGGTCAGTGTCGCACTCAAGGACACCCCGACTGGACGCCAACTGATTGGCACATCGGCTGCTTGCAGAGTTCAAACCTGTGAACTTTGGTACCTTCTCAGTGCAGAGAAAAACACCACATCTATACTGCTGTTCTTTTATATTTCCATCTCTACAAACAAAACAAAAAAAGGGGTAGAAGTAGCAGAAAGTGAATGTTTGTCAAAGCTTGTAAAATGTCAGCAATTTGCATTTCTTCCACAAATAATGTGTGCATTTTCAGTCCTGCTGCTGTTGGATACACACCCGGTATCAGCACATTCTCAAGAATGGGAATTGGAAATGAAAAATGGTATCGGGCCATCTCGAGCTAACGCCAGCATACTGACTTACTCTGGATGACATTTTTGCTGTCATCTGACGTAGGATGGAAAGTTGAGGAGTCCCCAACTCTTCATTAGTTCTTGAAGACATTGCTTACAGGATTTCATAAAGACCAATGACTTGTACTTGTGTTGTTTTTTTGTACGCAACCAAATAACTGATGACACAAAAATTGAACAGCACTACTCAAAATCAAACAGACAACAGAACGCTTCAGGTACGAGAGATCTTGTCCTGCACACAGAGATTGTGCATAGAATGACAGAGATTTTCATAAAGAAAGATTTTACAGGAGGAAAGTGAGTGGTCGACTTATTAACTGACTTTGACAGCCTCAGCTACATCTACACAGAGCCCAGTGCACACCCCCCCCCCCACACACAGCTTGTACTCTTGTGTTGTCAAGGGCATATATCTTTTTGATTGCTCTGTGAAAAGCTTAAAAACAAGCCAGCCCTGACATGTGAAGGTGGAGGGAGAGAGGGAGGGAGTGCCTCAGAGAGAAGCAAGACGAACACTTTATGCCAAGCTTTTTATCTGTTTATATCAAGAAAAACAACTTCAGTCAGGCAATTCAAGCAGGAATATAAACATCTCCTGATGAATGGACAAACTGGCAAACCATTGATTTAACCCTAACCCTAACCCTAAACCCTAAACCCCCTCTGTGATTGTCTGTGTTGCTGTTTAGTCAGTTTAGTCTGATTGTTGGTTGTGTCATTTGTCTGATGTGATCTTTGTTTCCGATGTGCCGCAGAACAGGAACCTGCTGTAAACCAGTTTTCACTGAGTCAAGCCCGATTGACTTTTGTAATGTTACTTTTAATCCTTCATGTATAATAAATGAAAAGAAGCTTTGTTCTGTTAAGAGATAAACTTTTGCTATAAAAAACAAAGAGAGGGAAACAGAGAGGGAAAAGAACAGTACAATAATATAACCCTGCAGTTTTAGTTACTACTTTTTCTATCATCCTGTACCTGAATTTGATGCCAAACCCTGCTAACATATCTACTTCTATGTTCTATCCTTGAATCTCTTCAGTTTTATCGACAGCTGCAAACAAAAACACAAGACATAGATACAACGATTTAGAAAACTAATCAAGTTTGAGGGTTAAAACTAAGTTTTATGGAAAAATCTCTATTTATCCTTGCATTCAAAACGGACATTTGTCATCCGTTCGAGGCAAATTCTTAAAAAAATAATGGTGAACTGATAACTTGCACATCCAGACGGCATGGAGGCAAATTGCCACCTTATATGGCACCAGACACCTTATCATCATTTGCACGTGGGCCTACAGCCTTCTCCTACATGCTACTCCACCTATAGTCGGCTCAATCTTAGAGTGGAGTCCTGCGGTGACCCAGATTCATGCTGAAAAAGAATATATTTTCCAAAACCTTTAAAACTGCTGCTCCATTGAGGTTAGAGACCTATCAGTACCCTGAGCGAACTAAAGCACAAACTCTTCCTCATATAATGTATAGTCTAATGAATAAGATATTAAATGCCTTGTCATCCATTACTGCCTGTTTAAAAGCAGAAATATTAATGCAAAGGATGCTACCTTAAGCTATCTTACTTTAACTGTAATAACAATAACAGCCTAAGTAAGGCTGTAGCTGCAAAACTATGAACTGACATGTTTACAGTACACTAGATTTTCCCATGTCAAAGAATATATTTCAGTGGTTTTATCCAAGCGGCAACCTCCAGTCTTGAAAATGAAGCCAATGCGGAAGTGAAAAAAATCCTGCAGTTCACTGAGTGTCCGCTTGAGGCTGGCTACAGGAACACAGGAAGTCACATACACACAACAGGCTAAAAAAAGCTGTTTTTACAACATGAATTAACATGTTTACAGCCTGGTTAAAAAAACAACATAGGTCTGATTAGTTACAGGGACAGTGTACAGCAACTTGTTCAAAAACACTTAAAAATAAGCAGGTATATTCTAAGTTAAGTTTGAACAACATTAAACTGTAAATAGTTTTATGGCTGTATAGACAGAGTGCATGAGCGTTCATTTTGATGGCAAAATGTTTGAGCGATTTACAGTTTTTCCTTTAAAAATGTGGACTTTAATCATCTCCCCGCATGTCACCTCGCATTCCATAAAAGCTGAAGAAGCTTCAGTTGAAGTGCAGAAAATATCCTGAGGGAAATCTTCAGCATCTAATGGCCGACTGCAGCTATTCTCCAATAAAAAAAGAACTTAGAGGTTGAGCTTTATCTGTCATCCTCTGACACATAATGGAGCACAAACACATTCCGTGACACACATACACTGAACATGGTTATCCAGTTAACTACACATAGATCTCTTTTATCACCTCCTGCAATCTCCTGAACAATGCTGACCGACACAGTTCACTCTCAAAAACAGCAACTTTGAAAAAAGCTCAGTTTTTTTTATCCTTGTGATGCTATTACGCTGAAAGAAGAACGAAAAGCTTCAGAGAGTGAGACGGAAAGAGGCACAGACAGACAAACAAATAAAAGAGACTGAATAAAGATGGAGGTCTGTCATGTCCTGCTGTGTGTGTTTTTAATTACAAATCAATCCAGATTCTTCCAAGGCAAGTGTGACTGAATTTAAAATGTCTTTTCAAGCTTATTCAACAAATAAGCAACCGGCAGCATCTCCAGTTATGATAATCTAACCAGACTGAATCACCTATTTCAGAAGTAGGAATCAAAAAAAATATAATGTATTATAAAGAATACTGAAGGAAAACAGATCAGTTTCAGTACAATACATGAACATTGTTAGCTGTGATTAAAGCGCAACGCAAAGCTAGTCCCATTAGTCCTTGATAGCTCATTCATTAATGAGTTAGATCAGCAATTCACCCGGCAAATCAACAGTTTCCAGTCCAAACAACTGTCTGAGTCTGAGGCTGAAAATTAAAGACAAAACGGTGGAAGGAGTTGAAGATAATCAGGCAGGTAGAAGTCACGTGTCTGTCTTCCTCTCAAATAGAGAGGAACTCCACAGTCGACTTCAGTTCACTTCCACACCAACATTCCTGGTGAACTTGAGCGTGTCATTAAGCTCTGAGTGAAGTGCTTCAAAAGGTTCATTTATTTGCTAATTACTCCGATTCTCTGGGGAAAAAGAAGTCCTGTTCATCACCCCCTCAGCGGAACTTTCATTCAGAGACTTGATTTCAGCACATTTGATGCAACAGTCTCCATTTGAGGCTGAAATGATGTGAATATCTCTGCGCACATCAATGGGATGGACTCTGTTGCAGTTGGTGTTCTGACAAACAACTTTTTTCCAGACTGAGTAGAAAGCAAAATAGTCCATAATAGACCATTTTCCAGTGAATTCATGTTGGCTGCACTTCAAATAAAATGCTAAAACTCCATCTGGGGGAATAAACAAAGCAAATGTCCAATTACCTGTTGTAGATGTCGTCGTCCTCTCCTCCCCAGCCCCAGTACTCGTTGGGGAAGCCGTTGATTTTCAGAAACTGTTTTTTACTGAGGCCTGACACTCCTCCAAAGTAGCCTGCGTACGGCAGCCTGCAGGTGAAGATAGAAGACGCAATAAGGTTAGAAAAGGGAAAGAGAAACGGTGAGAGGGGGAAGAAGTTCAGAGGACGCAGAGCGATGTTTGTCTTTACATGATCATTTCTCCGCTCTGTGCTGCCACTGACAAGAACTGCCAAACTGTTTTGTGTTGTTTTTATATGACAATGACAATAAAGATCAAATAACTTTGAGATGTATACCATTACAAATGAACTTAGTTTTACCTCAACACAAAAAACAAATACAGACAGGATATTGGTGCCATTAACTCTCTGCTGCTTCTTACCTTTTCTGTCAGAAATAATAAACTTCAGAGTATTTTCTGTATTTCTTTATGGCGCTAAGAGGAAATCACTGTCAGTGTCTGATCCATGCACAAAGAGCCGTATTTAACCTTTAACAGCGTCATTTGTCAAGCCAAAGAGAAACTAAAGGAAACACCAGTTTATTAGCAAAGCGAGCAAACAAACAGGAAGAAACAATCCTTCTAATCGCTGCATCTCGTTTGTTTTTGAAAGTTAATAGGAGTGATAATCAATAATGCTAAAGTTGGAACTTATTTAACATAAAGTCAATTAATTTGGTAAAAAACCCTTTCAAGGACGTTGAGATCACTTTTTCAAGCTTATTGCAGAATAATTGTGCGTTTGTCTACATCTGTGTTTAGATATAGGTAAGTCTTAGTTCATGACATAACATACACATGCTCTACCATGATCGCACCTCATAATAATACCATCAAAATGGAATATTGACAAATGCAAAAGCTTAATCGAAGAGCTGCGAGTATTCAATGAATCAAATGTGTGACTGGTCAGCATTATGATGAAGAAGAGAAAGGATGCAGAGATGACATGGCTCTCTACATACAAGAAGCCATGTTTGTTTGTTAAGTAGATATAATTTTTTATCCAGATTTAATTATGAATGAAAATAATAACAATATGAATTCTTTGCATTTTACATCCCTAACAGCCTCACACTCATATAATGATGTCAGTGTGTGTTAATTGAAAATGAATCATGAACTGCAGCTTCTCACCGTGCGATACTGCGATGCGTTATCTTGTATTTATTTTTTCACATGGCTTAAAGAGACGACAGAATTTACATTAGAATGAAAACCTGAAGTGTTTCATGCGATCAGATCTCGTCCTAATGTGTCGAGTGAATGATGCATTTCAAATGGATAAACACATGGTCGATTATAAACAATAACACTGAGCCATTTCCATATATAATCCACTCAGTACAAATGGATTGGCCTGCTGTACAGTGAGGCTTAAGTGCTGCGTATACAGTAGTAGACCTCTGATGCTGACCTCTGATGCTGTTTAAGCAGCTGAACAAGCACTGGCTGCGTGTGACCTCATTACCTTGTTAGCTTGAGAATATCTTTAAGGACATGTTTTTTTTTTGCACATTTCAGTAGTAATGTTGGATACAGATAGAGTTCATTTGATGCAGTAATGACCATGAACATTGACAAACAACACCAGAGAAAGGGAAACTAAAGCAATATGGAGGTAAAGAAGGGATGAACCTGAGATTCAGAGAAGATAAACAATAAGGAACATTTTACAATGAGGCAAATTCAAATGTAGCCTATATAGATGGACAATCAGCCAGAATTAGATAATAAAATGATTATTATGGGCTTGTATCCTGCTCATGACAACACACCCTGTCTGTAATCTTGTGTGTTTGACTTTGTGTGTGCAGAAGGGCAGACAGTTGTATAATTTTTCCTCAAAAGTGGAGAGACCAGCTGAGTGGTAGAGGTCAAGCGCCTGGAGTCTCACCAGAGGCTGATGCATGTGTGGACATGTGTGTGTGTGTGTGTGTGTGTGTGTGTGTGTGTGTGTGTGTGTGTGTGTGTGTGTGTGTGTGTGTGTGTGTGTGTTTGACAGTATGCTTTTGGAGGATGACAAGCAGAAACTAATCAAGTTTTTCTCCCAGCAATACATTTAGGATACAGTGTGTGTGTGTGTGTGTGTGTGTGTGTGTGTGTGTGTGTGTGTGTGTGTCTGGGTCAGACTTAACCTAATTTTAATGGATGCATCAAATTAAAAACCCAGTTAATTGAGAATGGCATGTTCAATTTAAGAGAGAAAGTAGTGATCAAAAATGTAAAAAAAAAAAGCTGTTTATATGGTTGTAGGTGGCTAAGAAAATAAGTTGTAATAATATATTATATCCTAAATACATCACTTTCCTTAAGTAGCAGCATCTTTACCATTCTTGTTTCCAGAAACTTGATATCTGTCTGATTCACTTATATGGAAATGTGTGATTATTATGAAAACAATGATACTTCATTTGTAAAAACAAAGAATCTCTAGGCTCTTTAGTCTGTGATGTTGTCGCATGGGAAGAAACATTTGTACTTAAAATGTCCTTGTTAAACTATCACACTATAGTTGAATGTATTTGTGGCAGCGTACAGAAACGTCATAAAGACTTATAAAGGCCTCCCTCTCCTTTTTCATTGTTATACAGTTATCTTGTACTGACTTGATAACCTCACAAACTGGCTGTTTTTAATCCCAGTCGACTCACTCATAAAGTCACTGTGTTGTCAACATGGCCAATATGATTGAGCATAAAAAACTGCCCTCTGTAACTATTATAAATGGACCGCAGCACTCACACGCAAACGCATACATGTACACAGCCTCAGAGTGCACATACTTTTACCCTCAAAATCCTGTATGATATAATGTTGATACAATTTCAAACATTGCAAAAGGTCCTTCAAGAGGCCGTAAGAATATGTTATTGAATGAGCCGTGTTGTGAAATGGGCTTCAGGGTGACCTCTTCTGCTCAGAGAGCTGCTATAGGTGCCGTGAGGTGTTAAGGTAATGGAATAGCACTTAACATGGCCTGACTTTCAACTGCAATATTTCCAACATTCATCAAGGCTTTAGAGCTTTTTTTTTTAGCTGAGTCGTTTAACGTGACTCAGCTAAAAATGCTCAATTTACCCTCTGATGCGATTCAACAACATGCCACAAACACACTTTATGAAAAAACAAAAAAGACACGCACATTGCTCAGTGGGTGCTGGATCCCCAAAAAAGAAGGTGCATAGGTAAGGAAAGCAAAACGAGATCCGCACACCAAGAAAGTATGGAAACGTCACTTAATAAATCCTTAAAACACACTTTGTATCATCATGTTGTCGTTGTTTCTTTCTTGTTTGCTCCCTTTACTGCAGAACTAAAACAGCCGGGGAGGGTCAAAGAAAACTTGCTGACTCAGACAGCTTTGACCTTTGGGAAACAATTGACTCCAAAGATCAGATTTTTACATCAGCAATTAACTGCTATCAATTCTGTGTCCTTCCAGTCAATCAAACCACATGGCTTTACTTTTACCCCCTTTTCTATTAAATTCTAACAGCAAAAAAAAAAAAACAGGTGAAAGTCTGAACTGATCCACTGCTATTAAGAAATGTTAGCAGTCTCGCTCACTTTTGCCAGATAGCATTAGCTTATTGAGCTCTATATCAGGGACCTGCTGAAGCCCCTGAGGTGTTTTCAGCTGGATAAATCTTGTGGACTGACAGCTCTTGGATGAGTAGATCACATTTTCTGGCCATGTTTAGTCCATTAATCAATGCTTTCAGTGCTTTTAGATAATTAAGGGCAGGTGTTGTCATAATGCAAAGACGCACATATAAAACCGGACCTAAACATTCAGTACTGGCTCGAAACTCTGGAGGACTTTTCTACTACGCAGCAGCATTTTGATTAAAAGACCAGAATGGACTTTCCCTAATCAAAGAGTTTACAGACTAACACTTTGTACTGTAAATTGCAATGAGTCCCACTGCTATCATTATTATCCCAATAATAATGAACTTGTTACATAAAACTAATTTTCAGTGCCCATATCTGTACAATACCTGAGCTCTTGATATTTGTTAGAGCCGGTTGGTTTTTAAATGGGTAAGTAGTTTAGCTGTTGCTTGTTTTAAACTGTGCAGTGCTTTCACCACAACTCTGAACAATAACGTTGCAGATGTTGTAAGACGAAACTATGGAGCTTGCTGGCATACAAAGTGGAAATACTGTGTCCTCCCTCATTGCATGCGGGGTCCCTCATTGCACCTTAATATTGAGTTTCATTGAAAAAATTGGTCCATGACGGCTCCAGGTGAGGTTTTTCTCTCTGATGATGGTTTCCTTTGTAGTTTTTTTTCCCCCTTAGAAAAGTCTGAGGTACATGGTTCTTGTGAAGGCTTCTGTTTTTAGAAGTCCCTGCTTCATCATTCTGCTTCAAGCTATTGATTAGTTTGATATGCAGCAGTGAGGTTTCTCGCATTTTCTGGCTGTAAAAATATTCATTGATCATCTCTCTGTGTAAAGCAGACTTCTTTGTAAGTTCCCATATAAAACGCTGCCAGTGTACAAGAAGCGGATAAAAGTGACCCTTTGTCTCACTAAAAAATACATTTAAACTTCATCAAGGAATGAACATTTTTTAGCAGAAACAAAATGCAAGATTTCTTGAAATTTGAGAAGCTTAAACTATATAATGTTTTGCATTTCTTGAAATTCATCAAGTGCACTGTGAGTCTTTACTCAAAGCTTTGTTGTAGACAACCATTTTTTTGGTTATCTTGAACTTCTCCTTTATGCAACACTAACAGTAATTGCAGAAGACTGCTCAGTAACTTTTGCTTCACACAGTTGATCTAGCATGTCAAGTATTCAGACAACAATGACCAGGTTACATTTAGCACCTCTTTTCTGAGGGGAAGTCTTCACTTGTTAGTCAAGCTCTGTATCATAAGCTCTTTGTTTGGGACTACAGAAGTCTGACCAAATGGAAGTTGTGAGCTGTGACATGCAGTGCATTTTCATGCTTATTTAGCAACAGGAAATAATATTAGATTAGAATGAGGGTCAAGAAAAATTTGTACTGCCAATTGTCTGTCACAACAAAGACTGTGGTCGTTTTTGTTTGCTGCAAATGGGTATTCTAATTTTACATGTCTACCATTTGCAGAGTGTAATTAACTGACACTGATATAATACAGTATAATCAGAATTTAAACAGACAGGAAGGGAAACCACTGGCAAGTACATCCGTCAAGGTGCAACTCTCCGCAAAGCCAGAGATGTCCTGATTTATGAGTTTGTGTATGGGGAAATGTGTCTGTGTACATTTTAAACTTAATTTATTTCACCATTAAGGGGGATAAATTCAGATGTACTGAATGGTATAAATAAATTAGAATATTTTTAATATTAGAATCCTTAAGGCATTCAAATAGTTTCAACTGTATTGAGACTTTATAGGTTAGTACAAATAGACACTTGTGCTCTGAATTTGGGTGCTTAGCTCCCTCATAGCACTTCAATCCAGAGTGAAGATCAGAATCCCTCACCTGAAGCCAAACTTGTCCATAGCAATGGCAAAGTGTCTCGGCTGGTCGTAGCAGTGGTAGAGGTTGCGGTCGTCCATTGGGATCAGGTCTACGTCGCTGAAGATGAAGCAGTCGTACTCTGCCTCCTTCAGAGCCTCCGTGTAGCCAACATTCAACAGTTTAGCTCGGTTGAAGGTTTCCTCACCCAACTGTAAAAAAACCCAAAAACAACACAAAATAGTTCATCAGTTCATTGTTCACACACGGACGAGGAGTGTGTTATTTGTTTGAAAAATTGGCGTAATCTAAAAAACAAATCAGGATGTGCAATATACGACGGAGGATTAGGGCCACGTTACAAAAAAATAATAATTTAAATTTACGAGATTAAAGTCGTAAATTTATGAGTTTAATCTTGTAAATGAACGAGTTCGAGACCAGCCTGCGCAAAAATTATTAAAGTAGAACTCTTAAAGTCTTTAAAGAATAAAAGAATAAAGTCGTTATTTTAGTCTATATCATTAGTCTATATAAGAGCAGCAGCATCCTGTTCTCGAATGACAAACATGCAGCATCTTGTCCTAAAGGTTTCACTAATAAGGAAATAGGCTACTTCCTTGTGTAGTCGGTAAAAACAGTTGGTTCAAGAGAAGTTTTCACTTCAACTTGTAAGACCTTGTTTATCTGTAAAATGATGAACAGGACACAAACTGGCTCTGCACATGAGACACTTCAACAAGGAGACCGATAACAGACACAAATAGTTGTGTTGGGGCTTTACTTATGCAGATATGAAACTACACATGCTTTTGGCACATCATCATCTTCACATTGTCATAAAATATCAGCACCCTGAAAAGAAACTGCAAGAAACTGTGGCTATTCCGAAGAAAGAACCACATTGCTTGCTAGAACAAGGTATCTAAATGAAAAAGAGAAAATAATTTCTGCCGGCATTTGTAAATTATGAATGTATAGAAAGCAGATATAAAAATGCTAAAGGCACTGTTAGAATAAACAGAGAGAATGAGTCAGACCAAGCCAAAAGAGGTCAGGTTCAGATCAAAGGTTTTTTTTTTTTCTGAGAAAAGATTGCTTTCCTCAAACAGAAATATATCTGCTTTTGGGTCTGTTGCACATTAAAGAAAAGTTCAAGTCTATTTCAACATTTTTTTTGTTTACTCCTATTGAAGTAGAATTGGGCTGTGTATGAAAATGTAATCAACTCTAGGTTATAATTACTGCAGAAGGCAGCTAACAGCTTACATGGCTGGCTAGCTGCCTCACAGGCTACGACCTGTGTTAAAAAACAGTTATCAGCGGGGCTACTTTCTGTGTTTATGTTTGATTTGATTTGCGCAAGACAATAATAAACTTCTACAAGAAGTTTAGCAGTTTCTGTCTCAAAAATGTTTCATAGTCTTAATCCCTAACCGTTACCACAAATTAAGTGTTAGCATGATGATGTAGTCCAACAGCTTCTATTCATAAAGATAATAATAGATAAAAAAAAATACCATAAAGTCCCTGTAACACAGCCAAAAAACATTTAGCCAACCATTAGTTCATCTGTTGACGTAGATTCATGCTGTATTTTAAACACTCAATGTCTGTAATTACGCTGACTGCAGATGTTAGCTTGCTAGCTAGCCAACTAAACAGCTGGCTAATGGCCCTTAATACATTTAAACATCTCTGGCATGACGACACATCTGACTGAAGAGGATTTTATTTATTTGGATTGCATGCAAATAAGGTGATGTAGATTATATCACATCTTAAATGATAAATTAAAATTCACATTGAAATTCACATTCTAACACTAACAACATGCTACCTACACATAAAAAAAAAGAACATGTTCAAAAACACAGGTTTAAAAAAGTGCTTTGACACAAAAGCGGAAGCAACATTAGAACAAAGCAGAAGGACCCAAACACAAAAGAACCAAAGAAACCCAAAAACAAAGACAACAAAAGAACCAAGCAGCAAAAGAACCCAAACAACAAAATTCCCAACCAGTGTAATTAAACCACACATCACAGGATCATCATAGGACCTATCATAAGAACCTAGGCAACACCAGAACCCTACAGTAACACGAGTATCTGTATCTGAGAAAGACACACATGATAACAAAGAGGAAAAGGGTTCATAACGGCCAAAATTGTTTAAAATAAGCTCCAGGCTGAAATGGAAGAGAATTTCCTTGGAGGTCAGTTTTTATCTCTTCATGCAGCATGAAATTATATGTGTGTTGACCCCAAGAGAGTCGACTGCTGCAGCGAAATGCATCTGTTTTTCTGTCCCTGCATGGCCCAGGTTCAACACTATGGCTAAGATAAATGCATTATTGCAGAGCAGCACAGCAATGGAAGATAGCTGAAGTTAATTCATATGACAGATATAAATTCCATAATGCAAAAGTCACTGTACTTTATGTCTCTCTCTGTAGAGACTTTCTGAAACCGCTGGCTCATTCGAAGCCAAGTCCATGTCAAACTGCAGGGAGGTCAGCAAGAAGGAAGTGAAGCTACTGTGCAGCATGACACTCTATGGCACAGACCGTGGCAGTCCATGCTCATCATATGTTCTCTGAGAATATTCTAGTGAGAACAGTGAATAAAGCCAGGAAGAGGACAGAGAGAAATGGATGTGCTGTCCAGGGGGAAGATAAAAATTCAAAGCCTTTGTACTTTCAGTACCTGGTACATGCGTTAACATACTGAATCATCAGGAAGATTTTCCCTCGGGGCACAATTTAATTCACTTAGTAAATGTGATTCCATTTATCTTAGCACAAAGGGGCTCAAGTCCCTGAGCAAGTATACAAGTATAATCTTATATGCACTGTAGCATCAGCCAGCACAACAATGGAAGCTCCTATGGGGTCAGCGGCTGCTTCTGTATATTGTTTAAAAAAAGCAGCAGAGAAATTAAATGTACTAATATGGTTAAAAGAAAAAAAAAAACACACTATCAACTGAAATTATTAAATCAAAATGAAATTGTTAATGTCAGAACACTTAGAAGCAAAATATTGAGACAAATAATCAGCAAAAAAGCAGAATGGTTGAAATTGAAATCAAAACTTTTTCCTGGATTATTTAGAGGCAAATTAGATATACCGTAAAACTTCAAAGAAAAGCTGATCCCAAATTAAGGCCCAGTCTCTTTTACTAGCCTGGTGTTGCTGAACGTTTTCCCAAATAAAGGCAGGTCTCAGTTACGGTATTTACAATATGTGTAAAATGTTGCACATCTGCCTTTAACTGTGAACAAAAAAGGTTTTTAATGAGGCAAAATCTAAGGAACTACATTTAACACAATGGGTAAAGAAAATACTGTTTGTATGCAGGGTTGGAAATTAGATATCCAAGTGAAAAACTAGTAAGCACACTCTCAGTACTGAAATAAGGTTTAAAAGTAGAGTGGCAAAATTCTTTACACCTTTGATTTACTACTTCTTATTGTTGTTTGATGGATAAAATGATTTATAGATGTCTCAGAAGCAACTGCAGACTGGATACACGTGTATACATGACATTCCTAAATTCATTGAACTAAGTAAGAGTTCACTTTCCTGTCGTAAAATTAACCCTCACAGTGAGCAACCAAGAAATGTACTGTATTTACACGGGAAATAAGCCTCCATTTATGATGACTGTGATGTGGAGTTTCATGTAAATCTGACTAGTGTGGCACTGTTAAGTACTTATGTAAAAATCTCTGAGATGTGAGCGGTCCCACATGACAAGATTACATTTGTTTATGTAAATGAGAATTGGTCCCAGTGCAAAGCTTCATCCCTCATATCGTGATAAAAAAGGACTCCCCAGTTGGATGAATGCCTGAGTACCATCAGCAGAACAATGAACCACGGGTACAGGGTTTGCTGCAGTCACATATGCTTTTGTCATTAGGGAAAACCTCCCACTTATGAGAGCATAAAAAAAACAATCTAAGAGGTGATTAATGCATCCGCTGCCTCTCACTCTCACTGCTCACAATAGAGTTCATTTATCTGTCTTTCTGGAGGTACACTTGCATCCATACATGTGCATTATCAGCTCGGACTGACCGTAAATCAAGTACAATGTGTAATCCTCCTGGTAAACCCACTAATACCTGGGATTTGAGCGCATAATCCCCTGTGCAGGTAACAAAAATAAAATCTATTGTCACAAATCCACTGGGGCTGAAAATATCAGCTGAAGTGGTCCTCTGTCTATTTTTGAACAACAGTCAGATCATAAGGATAGAAAAAAATCATGAGGTCAGAAAAGCAAAATATGACCAATGTAAGCTCTGACTTCAGGGCAGAAAGTTCAGCTACTGATATGAAAGGACAATTGAGTTTTTGACAAAAGCATTCAGTTGTTTTTTGGAAAGAAAATAATTCATTTTTGTTTAAAAGTAATCAGTGTTTCGATTTAATGGCATCTTTGCACATCATGTTTTTAATTATCCTGGACTACTTCTGATCATGAATTTTTACACGCAATCCAATAAATCATCTTGAGGCTATAGTAAGTAAATGTTCCTAAAATAAAGATGTTAGGACAATTTATATGTTGATATAAGTATGAGCCACTTATATTACAAATGATAAGATTAAGATTAAGATTAAGATTTACTTTATTGATCCCGCAAAGGGAAAGACAAATTTTTACATTTTAAGTCTAATGGATTTGCATCCTGATTTTTTTTTGTTAACCTTACCAATTATTTAAAATGTTATAAATTAGAGAAATTATGTGATTGGTTGAAACTTGAGGCTTTACGCCTTTACCACTTCCTGGTTGCTTAAATAGAAATTGCATCATGCTGATCATGGTAGGTTTGGAATTTGTTTTTCTACTTCAAAAATGTATTGTGTATTCAGATTCAGAGTTGGCTGCAGTCTGGAGTATTTTGTGTGTTTGACACAAATCTTTACAAGCCCATACTAAAAGTCAAATGAAAAATGTTAATTTACAAGATCTGTTTAATATCTGTATCTTATACATTCTAACAACAGCTTAGAGTTGTATTTCGAGTTAAAATAAAGGAATTGAATATAACATCATGTATAACATCAGCAAGAATACCAACATTTTTCAGAATACATGATGATTCCTACACAGTCGTAGTCATTTTGTCGGGAGCACAAGAAGAAGTAAGGCAGCGTTCATGGACGATCAACATCAGACTTGTTGGACGGAGGACA